AAGTTTTCTAGGGGAGCGTGCGAGTGAGGACAAAGCATGCTGAAAAGACCCATGTTGGTACAGTGAGGACAGTACGTCGTCGATCTAACGGTCGGGACAGCCCGTTAAGTGGGACCCGGGTCGTTACAAAGAGTGTGATGGAGATTTAGATTTACAACAGAGCACATAAACAAAAACAAATGTCAGTGTTTTACGCTCTCTCTCTCTCTCTCTCTCTCTCTTTCTCTCTCATATTAAAACTAATTTTGAAATAAAATTTGATTTTGAGGTTTTTTTATTGTTGTGGTTTGAGTGGCGGTTCTAGTGAATGAAGATGGTGATGACAGGCGATGTCGGAGGTGGCAATGGCGTGAAGGATCGATTGCTTGAGGAAACTGCTGGTTTTGAGGGAGCTAAATGTTCAATTTCTCTCCAAATGCTTGAGGGAACTGTTGGTTTTGAGGCGGTGGTGGTGCCTGGTTTTGAGGCGGTAGTGGGGCTGGAGGTTGAGGAGATGGTGCCTGCGGTGGCGGTCGGCAGCTGTAATTGGAGTTTTTTGAAATTTGTTGTCGGCAACTGTAATTGGAATGTGTTGCTTTTTTGTTTCAATGGCGAAGGATATGGATTCAGGTGAAATTGTGTTCTCTTCAATTCGGGCTAGGATGAATAGGGACTTTGTGATGATGATGAGGAACATTGTGAAAAGGGGGTTTGCTAAGATGATGAAGGCACAATCTGAATTAAGGCGTCAGTGGTGGGTAGGTGGTTGTCGATGGTAGGTGGGTTGGCGGTGGTAGGTGGATGGTGGGATGGATTTTCCTATGGGGTGGAAAGAAGATGATGGTTTTATTTTTATTTTTATCAATTTTTTTATGTGAAAATAGCTAATTTACTATTTTACCCTTTTGTAAGTTTAGTCAAAATTTTCTTTGGGGTCAACTAACGGAGGAATTAACGGAAACCATCTAGTGGGACTACTAGTGAGAATTTCTAAAAGTGTTGGTACCATGAGTGGCACAAATGAATGAAAGGTTTGGGTCAAGTTTACTGCCAAATGAAAGGTTTGGTACCGTGGCTGCAATTCTCCCTAAAAAATATTAAAATATTTTCAAAATAAATCATAAGCCATATTGAAAGTCCATAATGAAAAAGTTTTCCAAAATTAAAAGTCAAACTTTCGAACGGGGCAAAAATATATGAATGAATTGGCAAATAATAAATAATCAAATTGCTAATCACGTAACAAAATTATAATCTAACTCTAGAACTAGAAAAAACCTACAAATTCTGAATTTTCAAGAGAATGATCAACAGATTTGATTTCCATATCATCCTTGTCAATCCTCTCAATTGCTTTCCATTCTTTTTCCTCCTCAACTTCAATGTTGCTTTCCCCTCCCCGTCTCTTGTAAAGGAGAAAAAAAGAAAACATAGACACTGGGACAGCAACAAGAGAAAAATAAAAGAAAGAAAAGAGTTAAACTACGTCTCTTATTATTGACTGTATGCCACTTAAAAGTTTCAACTTAACTGGGGAGGGAGATTTATCACACTTCACTTGCAGGAAGCTAGGGCATCCTTGCTTCTTGCTTTCTTCTCCGATTCTTTTTTCTAGTGTCATAGGATCAGAAATTTCTGATAATCCGTATGTGCTAAAATACAGCTATAATTATGAGTGTTACCTCTCATCACCACGTCTTTCTTGATGGTGATATTTTCAGGAATAAGATATAATATGTTTATGTTTTATATGTGCATGTTTATATATTTGCTTACACAAATGCTCCCATCGCATATGGAGAGAGAGACATGGTCACACAGCCACATTAACATCTATGTCTAGTGATATTTTGAGTTTGGTTTTTATTCTGGCAGGCTAGGCGGCAGAAGGTTGGTGAAAAGCCACTTCTTTCTATTTCCACATTTGTCCAGGTTCGTTTTACTCTGATCTACAATTTTAGAATTTTAATTCTGAGGATTTATTTTGCTACACATGTTTTTCATTTTCAACGTAATTATCTTTAGTTCTGTGCAGTTAAGATTGTGGAAGATATGTTGGAAGTAGTAATTTTTCTATCATTTGAGTGATTTGTACAGAAAAAATAGCTGCATTTTGAAGGAAAAAGAGCAAGCAGTAGCTTTTATGTGAAAGGGGAAAACTTTTAGCGTCTATATGGGTTTATATGGGTTAGAAGGCTTTTCCTTTGAAATTAACTGTTTTCACGTGGATAAAGTAGGCTCTAAACTTGAAACAGCTTGAAATTTTGTAATTTACTTGTCGTCACAGATTATGGTGCTTGGACAGTATGACAGGAATAGATTAAACTGATGTCACCTTGGTGGATTGAGATGTTTCTCGCTGGTGAGTTGTATGGATTACATGTGGAAGTGAGTAAAGGGATGTGATGGTGGCGTGAGTATGACACGAATAGATGAAACTGATGTCACCTTGGTGGATTGAGATGTTTCTCTCTGGTGAGTTGTATGGATTACATGTGGAAGTGAGTAAAGGGGTGTGATGGTGGCATGGTAGTGAAATTGGTGACAGAGGAGGTATTTTCTATAGTTTATGTGGTCGTGGTGCAAACTTTGCTTGTGAGAATAATGCTCAGTGGTATGGTTTAAAATACAGGGATAGCCTACTAAGCTGATAAACATTTAGGAGTGATCACTTTTAACTGATTGGTTCCAATGGTTAACCTATCCAAAACCTTCAATTACTCTAGAACAAACCTACAATTATGAATTGGGGCTATGAGAGTTTGCTCCTATGGGGGATACTCACATCTACTAAATCTGTGCCACTGATTTTACTAAGATTTATCAGTTCATTAAATTTTACCATCGTCTTACGGAAAATTTGTTTTCTTGATCATGCGGGCTTTGATGATCATGAAGAAGCATCATATATCTTCATGGACGACTTATTTTAATCCAAATTAGAATATGGATAACTTAATCTAACCTGGATCCATCTATGAGAAAATTGACCTGGTCCCAATAGCATCTAGACTGACTTAGGCTCACTCTGTCAAATGTAACATTTGAAATTATTTAATAAATTAAAAAAATTATATCTAAAAAAATTTCAGTTTGAATTATAATTTAATATATCTACACCATAAACAAATTTAGGACCCCCCCCCCTCTTTTTGAGAAAAATGGGTTTTTGTAATAGTGATTTTTGGAGAATATGCAGTTAAAAAGTATGTAAAAGTTTTAGGTTTACATGTAAAATTATTTTATGGAAGAATGTGTGGTTTAAAATGAATTTTGGGAAAAATGAATTTTGGTAAAAATGGGGTTCAAATAGGGACTTACTATTTTAATATTCAAGGTATACAATAAATAGTAAACACATCAATTGATTAGTCACTATTTTATTAGAATATTTAATGTTGAATTACTAATAATTGTTTGGTGAATTATTCAATATTCGTTATATAGAGTGTGTTTGGGACACATTCTTTTGAAAGAATGTATTATTGAATAGTAGATTGATGGAGAATGTGTGGTTAAAAATGAAGAAAAAGTTATTGATGTGATGGAAAATATTATTTTATTGAAGAATGGGTGGTTGAAAATGAGTAGAAGAATGAGAATGAAAAAAATAATATGTACCAAACAGGGGCATAATTAATACATACTAAATCTTATTTATACGAAATTATTTAATAGATTTTTAATTTTATTTAATTTCTTATGTATTACTTATAAGTTATTTAATTTATTTCAAGAAATTAGAACATAGATTATTAATTTCTAATAATTTAGTTTAGAAAGTAATTAATTTTTTATTTTCTTTAAATATGAATTCTTTTAATATTTTAATTATTTTTAATATTGTTTAATTTTTATGGTCATGAAGGTATTTGAGTCATTTTATTGGTCAAGCTTCAGAAAGGTTACTTACTTTTGTATTACCCTCTTTCTTAATGACAAAATATTTGACTTCTTTTTTAACTTCAGGAATAAAGGTTGTTTATAAGGTTGAAATACACGTCTTTTATGAAAAGTTACTTGTTAATAAGTTTCAAATATAAGCAAAGCCAAACAACCTCTTAGCTGCACAGCAAAAACTTAAGCAAACACCTTAAACCAGTTAGGGATGCAAGATTTCCAAAACTAGTATGTAATCAAAATCAAAATTAATTATTATTTTTTAATAAGTTGCCAACTTTTTTTTAAGCCTAGAAGTTGCCATCGACAAAATTTACATGTAATAAGTTGGGATGCTAACTTGAATAAGTGTTGGTTTATTTACACTTGATTTTTTTGATAGGTAAATATTTACACTTGATCACCAGGACCATAAATCATAAGATAAAGTATTACCTCCTAATGGATGTCCAAGTATTTCAAAGCCTGCGAACCAACAGATCAACCGATCCCAGATGCCAAATTTGTAGACATTGGTCAATGTTGATTCCCACTACCACGCTCTTATTTATGTTTTTCTTAAGGCCCGATGTAACAGTGAAAATCTTTAATTTTCTTAGGGGGCTAAGCAAATGAGCCTATGAAGATGTCTCAAAAAGAAAGTGTTGCAGGAAAATGTAAATGTGAGACTAACACCCATTCCCTTCCTACCTCCAACCCCTTCAACAATGTAGCTTTTTTAGAGCATCTCTAAGAGACTCTCAATACAAAGATGCTCACTATTCTTACTTTATAATGAATGCATTTAATAAGTTACAGATTTCAATCTCTACTTGTTAAATTATTCAAATCATATTTGAATTGATTAACCATTGACATAAAAAAAAATGTTAACTAAAAGATAAAGAGAAATCAATGAATGTTTATTGAAAAAAGCAAAATGAAGAGTAAAAATAGAGAGCATTGCTGGAGTGTATAAAAAATTATAATCTCTAAATTTAAAGATGCTCTCTATTATACATTAGGTGCTCTGTATAAATAGAGAGTCGTGGAGATATTCTTAACTCTCTACACTAGACACCCTAGGACATCTACCACTAATGTGAGCTATCAAGGTCACGGTAGATCATCTTGTTTTAACTCTTTCGAATAATGATCCTAAGACATGCTATAATCCATGCCTTTCATGTCAAACCAAACCATTCCTTTTATGTAAAGGTGTCTAAAAATACCTATGCGGCCATGCCAATGATCATGAGCCTTTCTAAATAAATCTTAACAAATCCTAATTCCTATTACATACTATATCATTAATCTTGTACAAATCTGTAACCAAACTAATAAGACAGCTGAGTTCCTTTATATCTGATCCTCTTTTTGATGTTAAATTTATCTTCTTTTGAATATATATTGCTTGTATATTTCTTTTCTCTTTCAAGCCTAATGGTCTCTTATATTGATGATTTGATACCATATATTTCCTGCAGGCAGCTCGCAGCAATGTGCTCCTTGCTGTTCCTGCATTTCTCTATGCTATCAATAACTATCTGAAGTTTATTATGCAGGTAAAATTTGTTTACTCAGTTGTTTTACATGAAAGTGTATATCTGGATATACAGTTTTGTTCATAACTTTCTGGTAGACCTTCAAACATAGTTGATGGGGCCCAGACAGACTAATGCTGGGTCCGACTGTAATCTCTACCACTCTCTTCTGTGTTCACCGGTGAACTAGAAGAAAAATTCAGTACCCTCCTGCACTTGTGTTCTGTATTTGTATTGGAACTGTTGCTTTAGCATGATAAGCGACTGCAATATGGATTGCCTGCACATTGATCAATACAAGAATAGAAAAGAACTGCCACTGGCAATGACTTTTAAGTGTTTAGTTTATTCGTCTTATATGAGTTGAGTAAATTGTTGCGAGTGGATGTCATAGCTCATCAGCGTGTTCAATGAGGAGGATAAGATTCTAGGTATATCTTGCAAATAGTAATTTGTATTTCAGTGATCTATCTGTCTCCAAGGCTTACTTTTCTACCAATCTATTTGATTATTTAGAGTGAAAATGAAATAAGAACTTGGCACAAATCTTTTATTCGATTTATATCTCATGGGGATCATGGCTTGACTTTGAGAGGGACATTCCCAATACTTCTGAACAAAATACCAAAGGGATACATCAGCTTAGCGTATTGGTCTCGTCAGTCATTTTTCTTTTAATCTCACATCTGAATATGTAAAAAAAACTCTATATGACTATATCTGCTTAATTTTCTTTTTTCTCAATTATATTAAGCTATAATATTTTTTTCATCACCCCTTCTCTTACTGCTTTAGATGACCAGCTTTTCATATGTTTCCTCCAAGTCTCTTCTCTAGTCATCCTCCCCCCTTGTTAAAAGAAATTTGTGTGCCATGTGTTTTTTACTCCTTTTCTTGTTTCCTGTAAGCTTCTGTCTGTTTTATCTATGTATAACGATCTTCACTAAATCTTTATTCTTCTCCCAAGTTATTATTCATATCCTATTGCATTTTCAATTGTTTTATCTATTTTAACTATCATTTGAGCTCTTTCTACTCAGATTCTCAATCTTTAAGTAGTGCAAAGACCTATATTAAGATTCATACATTGTGAAACGAATAAAAGACAATTAAGCTGCTATTTTTCAATGTGGAGCAAGGATGTGACATCTGTAGTTCTGGGAGCTATCAACTTGGCATATTAAGAAACCTGTCTTGTCATGAGACTTAGATTCGAATGTAACAAATTGTGGTTTAAACTTAATGACTCTTTTCAACTGTACCTTTAACAAGCTAGACTTTTGGAAACTGACACCTCGAAAGCTAAGTTTGATAGATAAACATTGTTGCATATTTTGTCGTGCATTTTTATGTCTGGAGTTTTTTGGGTAATTTTTCTCTCTTGCCATTTATATATTTGCGCGCTTTGTCGTCTGACAAACTGGACTGCATATTTTTGCTTGTCCCTGAGTCTCTTTATTTTTCTTATTTCAGCTTTATTTCAACCCTGCAACAGTGAAAATGTTGAGCAATCTAAAGGTATTTTGCTTGCAGCTTGTTTGGCTATTGTTTTTTTTTTATTTTTTTTATTTGAAGTGAATGGAATTTTGAATAGTGAAATTGCACCATCATCTATGATGAGAATGCTGGTATTCTGGGATATTTAGTTTTTCTGTTCTTTTTTTTTTTTTTGCTAGAAAAACATTAGATATTGGTCATCAGCTTCTATTATTACTTTAATGTTGTCTTTTTTATTATACAGGTTTTGGTCATTGCTGTACTTCTGAAGATTGTAATGAAACGCCGATTTTCAATAATCCAGGTTAGTTCTAGACTTCTAGTTTCTGTAGTGTTAAGATTACATGTGTAGATAAGGTAAGGGTAGACTAATTCACAGCATATACATGAAGCAAGAACATTATAAATGAACTTATTATTATATGAGCCAGTAAGGGCATTTACTCTTGCTCTTCCTATATGTATGTTGTAGTTGATACAAAATTATTTGTAAAAATATTTAGTACTGGTTTGTGTTGCATTGCAGTGGGAGGCTCTTGCTTTGTTACTCATAGGGATTAGTATAAATCAACTTCGGTCCTTACCTGAGGGTACCACTGCTTTGGGTCTTCCAGTTACAACTGGTGCATATATGTACACTTTGATATTTGTAAGTGATTTAAGCCATCTATATCTACTGTTGATTGCATTAGGTGAAATGCTGGATTGATCAGTATGAACACATTTGATTTTATTCGTTTAGTTTTATCTTTTTTTTTTCTTCACGGATTATTTCTTTACTGCATATGCTTACTTTTAACCATCTGATCCAGGTGACCATTCCCTCCATGGCCTCAGTCTTCAATGAATATGCTATGAAAAGTCAATATGACACTAGCATTTATCTTCAGGTGATTAACGTGATAAAGATTGACAAGCTCTTATGTTACATTACTTAATTGTTCAGTTTCTGACTGAATTCTTGAATAATTGCTTTTTGGGGGGAACATTAGCTTTACATGTCAAAACAATGTCAATATTTTTACTGCCTCAATAACCTCTTATTTCTGTAACATTTTTACTGGTTCTGAAGTCATGCCATGATACTTTGTGAGGATGATCCTGCTGTTGAGTTGTCTTTGACTATGACCTGGAAATAAGATTGTGCCTCCGATTTTTTGGTTCAGTCTGGTGTTATTCGTTTCAGGGTTTCCATTTTCTCAACACAACCAAACCGAGAAATGACTTCAATGATTCAGTTCAGTCTGGTTTTCAATTTTCTTTTATTTTAATTTTCTCAGTCAATAATTAATACCTAACATATAAAAATTAAATAATAAAATTAAACACAACACCCCTCCTCCACGAACCGTTGCCACTCTACCTGACTTTGGCAATTAAGACTTCAAAGTTATATTGCTATTGCATAGAAGCTAGTAGAAAGAGTCCATGCAATTGTCATGGTTGTCAGACTAGAAGAGAAATTATCATTATCCTGTTTAGGGTATATGCCCATATAGAATTCATGTTCGCGATTAAGTTTAGAAAAGGAAAGAGACAAAAATGAAGACTTGAGATCTTAAGTCTTGAATTCACGAGAATGGAGAGAGGACACCCTAGTTGAAACAGCCAACTAACCAAGATCATGTGGTAGGATCGGCAACTGGGAGTAGCTCACAGAGACTTGGATGTTCCACTTATTTGTACATATATATAGATCTATTATATACCAGATCTGTGTATTTGTACATTGGCTGCTGTGGTGGTCTGAAGATCATTTTGGTAATAGTGTCAGTGGTATCAAAGGTTATTTTGGTGACAATGCTAGCAGCGGCTCAGTAAGAGGTGGGAGCAATGGCTGGGTTGAAGGCAGCAGTGATGGTGGTAGTTGAGGTTTGTACGTTAATTGAATTTGATTATTGGTTGTGATGTATCGGATTGAAAGGAGAGAGGGAGAGGTGTTTTTTTTTTTTTTAAAAACTGGGGCAGTTTAATATTTAATTTTAGAGTTTGGGTTTCGATGCAATTCATTTTGGACTGGTTCAAATCTGAACTGAAAACAAATTGTTTATTTGGTTAAAACAGGAAAGATGAAAATAGCTAGAGCTCTTGCTTGGCTGGATTTGTTGTCCTGTGAATAAATGTTGTCCCATGGAGTAATTTTTGCCTCACGGCATCTGACTCATTTGTCTGATTTGCAGAACTTGTTTTTATATGGATACGGTGCTATATTCAACTTTCTTGGAATCCTTGTAACCGTCATTTTTAAAGGTTGAATCTGCTCTCCCAGGCTTAGCTTCTATTGATACAATGAGCAATTTGATTCTAGTATATTTCATGTTTTCAAGATTTGCTTCTATTATATTGTCATCCGAAGTATCTTGAATTGCCGGTCAGTACTTCCCGCTCTGATTGAACTTCTGATTTACGAAATTTTCATTATTAAAATGTTTCAGGACCCAGTAGCTTCGATATATTGGAAGGACATTCAAAAGCTACCCTGCTTTTAATATGCAACAATGCAGCACAAGGAATTCTATCCTCCTTTTTCTTTAAATATGCTGGTGAGATAATTTTGGATGTAGCTGAGAAATTAGGAGTTATTTCCTTCATTTTGGATTAGTAGCATACAAGTTTTAATGTTCTAGTTAGTTATCTGCCAGTATCACTAATTAATTGAGTCATAGCTCAATTGTTCGTAGCTCAATTGTTCGTGTTTATTGCTAAATGCTTACAGGGGTCTTTCTTTTATGCTAACAGATACGATTTTGAAGAAGTATTCGTCAACTGTCGCGACTATATTTACGGGAATAGCATCTGCTTTGTTGTTTGGCCATACTCTGACCATAAACTTTATGTTAGGGATTTCCGTGGTTTTCATCTCAATGCACCAGGTACCATAACAAAGAGAAGTATTTGTTTCTCATATGTCCCTTGTGGCTTACTCTTGCTTTGTCATTCATCAGTTCTTTGTATCTGTTTGTCGCATCTACCATGAGGCTTACATCTTGCTTTGTCCTTTGTCAGTTCTTTTCACCTCTTTCTAAAGTCAAGGAGGACCAACAAAATGGGGTTCTGGAGAGAGTGGATGTACAAGATAGTAATAGGTATTTGTTTTGTCCTCATCTTAAACACGTGTAGCTACCAGTTAAAAAAATCATGGTACAACAGCGTTTTGCGTTTTGTTTTTTTTTCTAACAATTCTTTACTCACGACACAATTTATTTCCACCTACTCTACTCTCCTACCAGGTCGAGAGAGTTATCCTTCATAAATATGACAGCTGGAGCAAATGAGGAGGTATGAATCATCATGAGTCATTTGGATGCAATGTTCATGTGCTTTTTTTTTTTCCTCTCAGAATACATGATTCCCTTGTTTATTTCTGTTTTCTTTTTGCCAGACTAGTCATCGTGTGGCAACTGATGAAAGACAGCCTCTTCTTCCCGTCTAAGTTCCCTGAGAGTATGTAGCTTCACTTAATCTTTTCATCTTTTAAATTACTAGTTTGGCTATATGTATATTTCAAATTTTTATATCTAAAAACCACCTTCATGGTGTGCATTATTAATAAATTTTAATGATATGATCCAGGTGTCTTTCGATTGATATATAATCTGGGTAACACAAGGAAGAAATCACTTTATTAAAGAGTAATTTGATCAATTACTGTAATTGAAATTAACTAGTTTAGAGTCAACTGATCTCAAAATGGGTTTATATCAAATCAAACATAAATAGGGAATGTGTATCTTTACATCAAGTGATACCACAAACTATGGAAAATACTGTGTTGGAAAATAGAAACTATAGAAGTAATTGAGACAGAAATACGAAGAGAGAAATTCGTATAAAATTGTCTTAAAATTAAACTGTGAAAAAAAAAGAAGAAATAATCTATTAAGCCATAAGGCTTCTCGAATTATTAAGTAGCTTTTGTTCTTTGGTCTAGTTATGGCTCCCGTACAACAGGTTCCAGGCATGTGATTATCATAAAATTGTTGTTGAAATAACACCGGTGATGCCATTTGCTGCAGCTGTTGGAATATGAATTTTGACTATAGTAATCTATGCCAAATATGTTTGTAATCAGATTTTACAATAATGCTACCCTAAATAACACGGGAAGTTTGAACAAATGAACTCCTAATGCTTCCCGTTGTGGTTACGTGTACAGCACTTATTCAACTAAATCTTGTTGGCTGTTGCTGGTGGTTCATTTGCTGTTCTTTGCTGCATGTTTACCAGAGGACAGAGAACAGGCTACATAGTTGTCTACCACCTCACACTCGTCTCCAGTCCCGTTAGCTGGTGTTTATGTATATCAATTACTTTATACCACTAATAGATTATTTCTTGATTTATTTGTTATATGAAAATATGATCTTCACATTTTTGCAATAAATTTTGTTTTTGGTATTTAGTGCTTCGTAGATTGGAATGCTTACTCAATTTGTCTATCAATTTGCATGGTATATCAAAATTTATGCGGCTACTGAAGGCATTAGGCAAATAAAATTCAGAAGTTCATTTTTTTATGAAGTGAATTTCTTAGTTTTATCACAATCATGCTTGGTGTACAATCATGGATTACAATTTGGTAGATAACTTGCTACGTGGCATTCACTAATTGGATAGTTTCCACATTAACTTGTTTTTACAGCCATTAGTTTTTTGTCAATAGTCATCCAAATTGTTATCCATAGTTATACAAATAGATTAAGGGTTAATCCATTTGTATATAATGGTTTATACATAATGGATTATCTCTTCTTACATAATGCGTGGGGTCCATGTGTATTTAAAAATTCCTACAATGTGGCCCCTACCCTCATTGTGAGTGATAGGTAAAAAATTCGGAACATGTAACATTTTCCATAGATTAGTCCGTTTTATTTAGTCCCGCTGTTAATGTTTCACAGTACTGTACAGAAGCATAGAATTAACTGATTCCCGTACCCTCTGGAGCCACTCGTCAAGTTCAGCTAAAAAGAGTAGGCCTTTAGTTAAATTTTGTTTCCGAACTTTCCTCATTTACTTACAAGTAAAAGTAGTAGTTCATTCAATATTAAGGTAAAAATTATTTTCAAAACAAGAAACATTTTTTGCAAAATGTCCGTCTGGAGTGCCGATCAGAAATCAAGTTCCACAGACCATGCAAATTGCAGATTCGGCGATATCACTGCTTCCAGAGACTAAATTTGGGGGTATAAGCCACTATACATATGCTAGAAACACACCCAGTATAAGAACATGAGAAACAAGAATCATGTACACACAACTATTATTTAAGACTTGGTACAAATGGCGCCTTAGACGAGGCTTATGAAGTACACAACCAACTTTTCAAGACTCAGAACGAAAGATGACTCATCTTGTGCTTGTGTAATGATAGGAAATCGAATTATCATTCTCAAAGCTCAAGTTCATTGACAGACTCGATATTACAAGAACCACAATCACAACCTCCAACCCAGGAAAAATATATATATAAACCTGAAACATACAAAATGGGTGCTTTTCTCCAATTTCTTTTCAATGTTTCTAGCATCTCCCAATCATAGCATGATTGTCGCAAAGAATCTGTAAATTTCTCTTTCGACAACCTTTTGTATGCTTAGCAAGGTAGTTTTTGTCAGCTAAGTCCCTGTCTCAACGATGGTGGTTGCACATGAGGCATGTAGTCGCAGATTGAAAGTTCATGTACGTACAATGATCACATGCCCAACTGCCTGAATCATCTGTGTTTCCAGTCCGGGAAGATCCCTTTCCCCTTCCACCTTTTCCCTTACTGCTCCCTGCTATGCTCTTTGAGGTTGTCTTACTAGATGCTCCTTGAGAGTCTACATCAGCGAGACCATTCTCTAATGCTCTAACCAAGTTTTCAAAGTAATTCCGAGTTACACTGAAAAAACATGACAAGGGGACACCATTTATATACAGACAATAAATTAGTAAATAAAACTCAGAACCATCTGCATCAACTACCAAATATTCAAAACCAGTTTAACTGATCATCAAGTCAAATATATGCTAAAAAAATTTATCAACTAAAAGAATCGATCTTGAAAAATTCACGCAAAAGAGTAGCACATTAATCAAAATCCCACATTTACTAAGAATGTTTCATGATGGTAAATATTTCAATCATACATAAGAACTAAACTCAACTAGCTCAACCTTAACCTGTGCAAATATAAGGTGGGCTTCATGGATCGCCTTTTTCTGCTATCATGGCCATCTTCAAAGTTAAACAAAAGTTCAAATCACCTCTTATTGTGATTCCTTTTTGATCAAATACAAAAACTTATCTAAAAATTAAAATTGCTTTTTTCAATTTTGTTAATGACAAACAGAGATGTTTTGAGGCATCCCTCCAGTGTCTCTCTTATTCCAAAACAGTTGATCACTCCAAAAATGTTAAACCTTGCTGCAGTGCTTAGATCTAGTTACGGTAATTAATTACAGCTTTGATGATCTGTCATTTATTCCACCATGGAGTCTAGGTCAATTAAATGATACTACACCAATTACGAGTTAATTCGTTTTTTTTCATATATCAATTTCATTATGAGGTATGACCAGAGGATTGATTGTAGGATGCAAAAATTTGCATTCCTAATTACAAGTCACCTAAATGTGCAAACCAGAGAATGATAACTTCGATTGCATCAAGGAATATTTCAAGGGTGCAACTAAGAAATTGATAGAGCACACAAACAAAAAATAGATAATATATTGGCAGTACACCGGAAAACATCAATGATCTATCATATTGACGTTAAACCTTCAAATTTTTACTTCAAACATTAAATACTATTGAATCTTCATCAAGGTGCACTACACTTGTAAATTATCTCAAAGAAGTTCCACGGTAAAGCTACTTTGGCAGGGTTCCAACTCTAATTATTGCATTTATCAAGTAACAAATTATTGTCTTGAAGCTGTTTTGGCCTGGGGCTAAGCAAATTTATTGCACGTATTCTTCGGAATCCAAAAATCAAATAAACAACTAAGCAATTTTTTTTAAAAAATTTAACCTAAGAGAGTCTAAGAAGATCTCTCGTTCACAGTACCATGATCACAGCTCCACAGAAACATACCTCAATAATGCATATGGCAGGGATAATCAGATATGATAATCCTCAATAGAAACAGGGGCAATTTTTAAACTTGTAGCTGGGAATTTTCATAGTATGCTTGTCTCCACCATTGATAAACTATTCAATTAGAATGAAATGCTTCCAGCCTCATATGATATTTCATTTTCAACAGATTAAACGCTTTATCCGTGCATCTGTCTAAACTAGATAGCATTCGTAAATAAAATCATCTTTTGACCTTTCAACAAATAGATGCATCTCAAATATAAAAGCTCAGATTGTCCTAAACTTGCAAAAGAAATTTAAGAAAACAGCCAAGTTGGATTCCGAGAGACACACATGCTGATATTGCTAATTAGGAACAGTAACTACCACTTGGGTGCATGTCTTCAAGTCCAACATGGATTGCCAAATGCTGAGAAACATATCCAACTTAGGCTCAAGAACAAGTCCGGAGCCAGGACCATGAAGAACAAGTTGAGAAAGAATAATACTATAAAAAGGCTTTTTATATCTAACAAGATTCAGATTAGTCATAATCTTATATTATACCTCTTAAGCAGAGATTACCTTGTCAGACCAGCAAGTTTTGTGCGGAAGTCATTGAAATCTTTTGATGGCCTTTCAGCATTAAGGTAAGTCTGCAGCTCCTTCTCTGCACACTGATGAAGCCTCTCCAAACCAGTTTCAGCTTCACCTAAATATATGGCATATGTAACAATGCAATTAGAACAGCACTAGTAGTAAAGCTTGCATGTACCATCTAGAAAACTTCAAACAGTCAGAGAGAACATGATACCTTGCAAATACTCAAAAAACTGCTTCTTAGTGGGTTCATACTCAGGTAGATAGTATCCATATGCGTAGGTCCATTTTAGTACCCTCCTACATTCAACTATCTGCAAACATATTGATAAAGTCATGATTATCTTCATTAAACATGCCCAAGTAAAAACGTAAATAGTGCCAAATTAAACCGTGGAAGACTATAAAACTCAGAAAAAGTTAGGAGACAGATGCAACCATATGCACAGAAGGAAGGGCAAACCTAGAAATCTATCTTTAGTTGGATTTGCTAAAATATACCGTCTTTAGAATGAAACAGTGTTGTTTTAATTTTTGAAACTACTGGCAATTTGATTATCGGTATCATTTTATGTTTTACATTTAACAGTATTTTGTTTCTTAATAATTGTTAAAGCTAGGTAAAATGTTCATAGTAATCAAGTCTCGATTATGTTATATTAGGTCTTTGCTTTAATAAGGAGTTGTAGTCAATATAGATGAGTCCTGATTGGAAAGTAAATTGATTTTTAAGTTTCCCAAGTCTGTAATCATTACCATACCACATTCACCACACAATCAAAGAAACATCCAAGCTTGGCCTGGTATCACTGAAAACAAGGTCTATTTCTTCCAGAAGAAAAATAATACAAACTGAAAGACCATATTTTATTAATGACAAGAAGACAAGTCGAAGTCAGACAGGGTCCCCATTTCTTAAATGTAACTCCATCCATTGTTTGCCTAGCACGTGATGATTTCAATTGAACTTTTCCAGGATTTCATTAAAATTGTCCCTCACATTCAGGTAAAACTGAAAGAAAGAATGATATACTTTCATTTCCTCCAGCAATTTTTCCCAGACGTTTATCATCCCTGAACATCAACAGACCCATAACATAATAAGCTGATAGAAGTTCAGTGTAACTCACGTCCAGTTTCCACACTGTTGGATGTAGCAATGAATAAAAACCTTGATGAAACACATTGTCCAAACATACCCCATTTTTTTATCAATAACATTTAGTCATTTATTCCTCGAGTGATGTAAATTTAGCTTCACAAAAGTCACTCCAGAGAGTGAAAATCAGTTTCATTTTCAAAAATAAAATGGCAGATCAAGTGATTCCTAAATTTATATTAAGTCAGTCTGAACTTACAGAACCAGTAGTAGATCTTTACCTGTTGCCAGGCTTCAATTATGAACTTCATTTGTGACTCAGGTTGGGATTGTACTTCGCTAAGCTTCTCAAGCTGGAAAGAACGTAAAAAACAACTCTTTAAGGTATCCAAATAGCAAGAAAAAGGTAACCAGAAATGTTGTGGGTAAAAGTTTACCCACGTAAAACCTCATTCTCAGATAAGAAGACAGATTTACACCGAAGATAAGGGGACAATGGATCAGCCTCCTTATTAGAAACCAAATCCTATCCAAACAACACCCTATCACAAGGGACCTTCGCTACTTTGTATAGAACAACCTACAAATCCTTCCGTAAAGACAAAAACAAAAAAAGCTCTCCTAAATATTCCCGTGCATCAATTCTCTCTCTAACTGATAGTCAATAGTGACTTAAGAATGGAATGTCCATAGGGGAATTCCCAGCCCCCATTTTTGCATCAATGTAACTTTTCAAGATTGTTTGTGGAAATTGACATTGACTCCAAAACAAAAAGTGACTACGACAAGAAAATTAATAGATGAATCAAGGAGGAAATTTAATTTTAGACTCCTGAAGATCACATTAATCAGATTCCAACCGAGAAGATACCATGAAGCCAAGTGAATACCGATGTCCCAGAATTAAGCCAACCCAAAAATAAATAAATAAATAATTGTTAAGAAAACCATTATAATTGCATTCTAAATATATTCATCCTGGGCAATCCAACAGTAAACAAAAGGTAAATATATAACCAGTTTGCTGATTAAATTGAATGGCTCTTCCATCTAAACCATCAACTTGGAGACACTACTGTAACAAAACTGAACTTTCAAAATAATGCAGAACAGTTATCCTTACATGAACACTATGCATTTGCTGTAGATCCGCCAATGCCTTTTGCCGTGACTGCACAGAATGAAAAAGAAATTCAGGTTATGAAAGAAAATAAAAGAGAAGATTAAACTTGTACAGATTCATAATTGATTGACCACTCACAACAATCTATATGAAAGAAAATAATTGATTGACCACTCACAACAATCTATATTAAGAGAAGCTCTCACAAAGATCAACAGAGTCAAATGGAAGATAATTTTTTTTTTTGATAGGTAAATGGAAGATAATAAATAAGAGGCAATAGAAAACATACATAATAAAGATCTCTGAGCGTCAGATTGACATTCGGACTGGAAGGAAATTTACCAAGTACCATGAAATACACTAAAAAATAAACCACTTTGCAATTGATCTCAAGAAGACCAACGAATGTTTCAGGTCAAAATCACCAAATATACACTCTTTTCATGTTCATACAAAGACTTTTTGTTAATATATTTCATTTATGCAAAAACAGGAGAGTACTTATGTAACAATATATCTTCTACCTCAAAGGATTTAACAAGAAAACTACTAAAACATAGCAACCAAGCTTTCCATTTCAATTTTATGCCTTAACGAGATCCCAAAGAAATAAGGAGAACCATGGATCCAATGCTTTAGAGCAGAAACATGAAAAAATCACTCAGATACAAATGAAAGAGAATAGGATGATATCAGTCAGCAAAATTTCCATCATTTCTTTTCATCCAAATATATCAAATGCTTGACAGCATAGCAAACCTCTACAAAATCTTATCATTGTTATGCAAATTAAAACCCAACATCTATTTAATTTATTTCTGTAAAACTAGGAATCCGGATTTCCAAAATATCCAAAAATTCTCTAGCTTAATAATACAAAAAAAATAAAAAATAAAAATAAAAATCAGATATAAGAGCATTGATGTTTTTGCACAGTAAAAGTTGTGCCTTTGTCTCCAAGGATAAGCTAAGTTCACCACCTTACTTCATTTTACTTTCTTACGAACTTGTCTCTTTAAGTACATCATAGCCAATGGCCAACCGTGATCGTGGTCTATTATAATAACAGCAAAATATGTCCTTGGCTTTGAACTATAAAAATAAACACACTCCCACGTTAATTCTCGTATATACACAATGCTGAAGTAAAGATATGTATAAAATAGCAAGACATGGGTACGTGGAAAGTTTAAATTAGGCCTCTCATCGAGGTAAAAACAGTTGGACACATCCATTCTACAAATAAGATAGAGATTAAACAATACTTCACACAGATAAGAGGCGTTGGGGATATCAAAAGTAAATAAGGAAACGAATTTCTAGCTATGGTAGTGTAATAACAATAGAAGTGCTCATGATTTCCCAGTACATTACAATAAAAAAAAATTATTAAGATTATGGTAGTATTTAGACAGCCTGTGAACAGGTGCAAGTGGAAATAGAATTGCCTCAACAAGCAGAAAACTGATCAGTAATTAGACAAGGCTATCAATTGGCATACCAGTTGGTTGGAAGCCCACCGCTCATAATAATGAGTGTATCTTTCCAAGGAGTTCTTGGCCATCTCTCTCCTCCTCTCAGTGTCATCATACTGGGAACACAATGTGAAAATGTAAATAGGCAAGGATTATTTTAAAAAACAATGGAAAAGAACTTGGTACAATAATTTGTAACATAAAGACACTAAACAAATGATTAATATCCCCCAATGTCGTACCACTCCCTCTTGCTTTGCTGACTCATAATGGTTGCATGCATAAAATCCTCCTGTTCTCTCACCATGGTCTATCCATGCACCAAGACATAGCCTGCAAAACATTGAAAAGACCACTTCTAAAATACATAATCTACGAGTTCCTGTATTGGCAGGGCGACAAAAGCCTGGAAAAGAGATTCAGCAAAACCACAAAGATTGCAAGAAAGAAATTTATTTCATAATGGGAGGCTTGATTTAATAATAATATTATAGAAGTTTACCAGCAAAATTCAAATTTGCAAGGTGGAGTGCAAGTCATGTGCATACAACCTTGGTTCTTTTCAATTGGACGCTTGCACTTCGGACAAGGTTTGGAGTTGGCCAATATCCTAAAAATGACAAAATCAATATTAGCATGGTAGTAAGCCGCCAAGATACCAAAAATGCCCACCATTTTATAAAATTATATCCATTCCCTTGAAAAAGGAAGTCAGTATTTGTGCTTCAAAGATACCATCTACATCCTAATAATCTGTAGAATGTATAATTTGCCTTACTTGTACACTAGCATTTCACACATTATACAGCAACAATACGTAAGTGGAACTCAAAATTTCACTATTTAAACTGATAAGCAACAGATGAATACAAAAAATTGTTCAAATGACCTAGAAATTGGAAGTTCAGAAACGAAAAATCTCGAGGTAAAAACATATTGAGGATTTGCTAAACTTCAACAATATACCAGCAACGTCATTTATGTGATGTCATGAACTGAGTTCGCTTTAAATTGGTTTTATTGACAATATATACGAGGGAAACCATCAAAACGTATTAGAAATATGATTAAATAATTTGATACAATTTATCTGCCTAAGAATATACTCTACCAATTCATGTTTTCTGACTCGGCACTGTTCTTCAAAATCCACTTGGCCACTGTTCCGCAGTCCACTGGACGATGAGCTTCCTCTGTACACTGATAAACGAGCTCATAATGCGCAACACAAGGAAGTTACATCAACAAAAAAACAAGAGGACAATTCATACAGCCCAACTTACATTCCAACAGAAGCTATACGAACAGCTGCAAGTGACATCATAGTTTCCACTCCCAACAACATATTCAATCGCACAATCACAACCCGGGGCAGGACACCACTTGGTCTGTCAACGAGCATACGGCAAAATTAATTAGTTACTCAAGTTAGCACAGACTATAAGCAAGGACGGAGGAAAACAAGCCACATTAGAAACATTGTATCATCTTCAAACCGCGATGACATATCCTGCAAAGTTATAGCGGCTGGAAGTGAAGATACTATCTCATACAGGCTCTTGAAGTAAGCTTGGTTCATGTGCTCACTAAAGAATCAATTTTATTTAAGTAAGATGGATCTCTGAAGCTCACATTGAATGAGAAATATCCTTAAACTCCCATGCAAACATGTAATTATGCGAGTATAAAATCAGATAATGGCAGGCAAGCTTTCTGAGTCCAAGTCATTTTATACAACACAATCTGGAAAGGGGACAATTCATGAAGTAACTAGCAGTGAATTTTTAAATCAAATTCAATAACAAAAAGAGTACACAAAATCTTGTTTTACCTTTAAGTATGGGTAGGATTCTATTTTTCTAAAATTAATTGACAGAAGTTTCTGAATACTAGAATGGAGGATTTGGAAATGCTCTACCCACCTTTCGGCTGTCTTCAACGAAAGATCTCAGAAGGTAATGACAATACTTCTCCTTATCTTCGTCAGATGCCAACATATCAATCATATATTGGCCAATAGCAGCCCCACAAGATGGACCAGGACATCTCAGCGTCAAGCATCCAGGGCCACCATTGATGGATGTGCTAATGTAAGCTACCAGAACAAACAGAAAAATTTATTATCAGCTCCCAACACATGGAATATGGCAGTGCAAGGAAGAATAAAAATGTAACACGGGCTGTGTAAATTTGATTTTTCAGCTCCCATATGTAGTCAACAAGGAAAAGCATATCTCATAATTTAAAACATAGTCTACGGCACAGAGTAAACACAACTTCTCATCTTTATCAATGTACCTAAGAAGTACGTACATGGACACGCTGATGCATGATTTTCCATGAAAGTAGAAAACAAACACTTTAAAGAAACTTCGATTAAAATATTATTGTTCATCAGAATGGTTATTTCAATTCTTTGAGGAAGATGAACAATTTTTGGGTCTTCTGCGGTGTAGTATGAAAATGCATTTTTAAGGTTATGTTAGATGTTAGCATAAGCTAAGGTTCACCTTAGGCAATGAATACTGATTTACAGTGAGCAAATAGAACATATCCAAAATATTTCAATGTAACTAAATGGGGGTCTTTATACCTTTTGAATGGTAATGAAAACAATTTTCAGTAACATGTTAAGTTTTAACTTTTCACTGCTTAGTCTTAAGCGATGCCATCACGTCTTCTCCCATATCCTAGGCCTCCTCTTCTCACATGGATAAGTCTTCAGATATCATCACCAAAACCCATCTCCGCTATTTCACTAAAAGTTTAGGTGTCGTTCTCTTCGTGTTTCATTTTTCCGTTTTGAGTTTTCAATTCGTTTTGAATTTTGTGTTTTGAGTGTCTATTTTGAAATTGTTGAAAATGTGTTCTATTTGGTATTTTGAAAAATCATTTCCAAAAACTAAAAATCGAAAACACGTTCACTTTCCTCCAAATCATTTCCCCTCTTTCTTCCACCCTCTCTCTCTCTCTCTCCATCGCGTTTCTCTCTTCTTCCCCTCCTCACTGTCCGTTTCTCTCTCTTCTTCCCCTTCCCTCTCTGTGAACGGTGGTGGTTGGGGTGCGAATTTGGCTGTGGTTGAGGTGTGATTTTGGGTGCGAATTTGGCTGTGGTTGGGGTGCGAATTTGGCTATGGTTGGGGTGCGATTTTGGGTGTGAATTTGGCTGTGGTTGGGTGCGATTTGTGCAGTGCTATTTGTTTCTGGTTTCGATTTCTCCCTTTTCTTTTTTATTTTGCTTCTGGTTCCGATTTGTGCGGTGCTGGAGTTTGGCTGTGGCGAGATGGGGATAAGGAAGATACTGATTGTGGTGTTTGGCTGTGGCAGTGGTGCGGCGGTGTTTGGCTGTGGCAGTGGTGGCGAGATGGAGATAAGGTTCTAACAGTTTGGCTGTGGCAGTGGTGGTCACCGGCGTTGGAGGAGAGAAATCGGTGAGATGAGATAAGGAAGATACAGATTGTGGAAGGGAGAAGGAACAGTAACTCCATTTCTCGTGTTTTCAATTTTGGGTTGATTTTGCTGGAAAACGGCCAAAACGCTGAAAAGTCGTTTTGGCGTTTTCAGTGTAAAAAAAATTTTCGTTTTCGAGAACGCGTTTTCACCGTTTTGAAAAATCGAAAACAGAAAATGGCCCGAAAACGGCAAAGAGAACGCAGCCTTAGCTTTTCTGGGTATTTTCTTCCTTTTTAGTTTCAGTTATCAGTAGTTAGTTTCTCCTTTTTCATTTTAAAATAGATATGCATGTTGACAGTGTATCTAGAACCAAAACAAAAAATAGGAAAAATAGGCAAGTCACCTGGTGTGCCTGACGCTTAAAACATTGACACTCCTCCCGGGGCAGGTAGATGCTTCTTAACCAATGTACAAACTAATATTTTTCTATAGTGTGTAAGATACTCATTTACCATGTTGAACGTCAAATTGATACTTGTACTTGTTCATGCCTTCATTAGATTATTAATGTACCTAAAAAAGACATTGTTTAGAGTATTCCACATGCCTTCAGTGTGTGTATCGTAGAACAGTTGAACTGATCTTCCCTGTAAAGACTTTCTAAACTGATGTTCCCTGTAAAGACTTTCTAAACAATGGTCCAGACACAACTAAGAGAGTGTCAACCATATATCCAAAAGCATTATTTTAGTGTTAACCTCAAGTGTGTCTTTGAAGTAGAAATATTGCATTTTGAAAGTTTCTTGATTCTTAAGAACACTTCATACTCCCACCACAAAATATCCGATAAATCCTTCATGACCAACACTATCACCACAAAAGCCTCCACTTCTCCACCCCACAAATAAAATGTGAGAATCAGTCCAAATATTAATTACAACAGAAGTGCCAACACAATCACAAACATAAAACCATATTAAGAGCCATTATTCAAGACAAACCCTCCAATCATCATCTGCCATGGTCAACCACAAAAATTTCAACTAAGGAACTACCATAATCCATTTTAAAATTGAGGAATTACCCATATCTACTATGAAATTAGATATACGAATTTTCTTACTTTGACAATGTTGCTATCACATCAACTTGGCTTAGTTTTTTCTATAACATGGCAAAAGTTCAAGGCACTATATCCAACCTCCCAAAAATATGATTTTATTTTTGGGTCAATTGAACTATAAAGGTATTTGACTAAGTTCTATATTGTCAATAAGTGGGCGATACTACATAAAATTCATCAATTTAATATCAATCATTGGACATGATATCTTTAGATATAGCTTATGATGCACCGACACGACGCACATCCGACAAGCTAACACATGATTTTTCAAAAAAGCACTAACAGACACGTCATTGACACGTTGATTAGATTTTTTAAAATTATACATTTATATAGTATAAATTTAATTTTATACTTGCTATTAAATTTTTCTTGTTGAAATCTTTTAAAGATTAGTACTTATTTGTTAGTTGAAAATAATATTAAGTTATAATATTTTTGATAAAAAAAATCATGGTGGAGTGTTCCAGGAGTAATGGTATCCAACACATGTTAGACATAGACACGCCACTCTGGTAAAACCGTCAATGCAGCACGGGATATAAGACATGTTGAAATATAGCACAGATGTTGGTTGAACTAATATTATTAAAAAAGACAAATTCTCATCATGCTACAAACATCTGCCATCACTACTATCAAAAGATAAACAAGCAATCCTTAAACACTACAATTAAAGGACTACTAATGTAATTTCTAAAATATTAGGAGAAAATATTGATTGTGGCTGAACCAAGAGGCTTTTGGTTATTTTATTCTTAATTACATGGGGCATAGGTGAAATTCAGAAAAACATAAATTTACGTTATGAGCTAAAAACAAGGCAGCGAAGTTGAGCAATTCACCCAAGCTATCAGATAAACTAACAAGATTGTCTAATTTCTCAATCTCAGAGGTAATCTTCTCAAGGAGAACCTTAATGTCAACATATAGCAAAGTATTAGCTACGATATACTTCAGATACTAGAGGTTTTATGCAATAGACATATGGCAGTATGAATAAATGCAGACCAGATCCACAAACTCAACAAAATTAATCAACAGAAGTAGCACAGATATATAAAGCAATTATAATTAAGGCAAAACTGATTCCAATAATAAGGTAGGTCAAAGTGTGTAGCTGTGTAGCTCCATATTGATGCTTTGAGCAGGTGAAGAAGATTGTAGACAAACCTCTCCAGCATGAATCACAGAAAGGATGGCCACACGCTGCAGAATATACCAGCTCAAGGGAATAGTTGTCAAAACAGATCCCACAAGTCACCTGTGAGGAAAGATTTTAAACACAAATGCCGATGCATGTGGGGCAAAGGCGGTAGAGTGGAAATAAGCTTATGAATGTGCAATGTCAAGAAACTGATACTTACTTCCTTATCATTCAAAAATTGAACCACCGGATTCTCCAGTAAACCAACAGTTTTACGGACTCGCCCTTCATCGGCAAACCATTCTTCATGCACATCATTCACATTCCTGCATTATATAAATTAATAGAAGATATTGTCAAAAGAGAAAGGAAACCATGATGCAAGATGATATCTTGCACTAAAGCAGCCAAGGACTGCTGCTGTCGTCCCATGAAAAACTGTAAACATTACTATACATGTCACAGGCTCAAAGTACATATACAAGTTGCTTGAAACAAATTGTCTCAACCAGAGCCCAGAATGGAAGTTTTATGTAATCTATTACCAATCCAGTTTGTTAAAAAATCAAGAAGCAAATATATTACCAATTATAGCGGCGCAACAGTATGCATGCTGCTTCTCTAGAAATCGAGAGAACATTAGATATTCTCATAATATCTTCCCCTTGTATTTTACGTATGTCTTCTTCCTTCAAGACGGTATAATTATTCTGAAACATACACAGTAACACATAATTCCAGAAGAATACACACAGAGAAAGCAAAAAAAAAAAAAATGAATTTACTTGCTCATACAAGTCACTTATTTCAGATGAGAGGTGAAAATCCTAACTCAGGAAGTTCATATGGAATTGACCTTCACAATTCTCAATTTTAGATTGTATTCGAAAAGGTCGTGCAAAAGCTAACTCCTTCATTCTCATCTAAAGGAAAATTAAATGCATCCTTATGTAGATTGGCTTTGTCACATGTTGAATAAAGATAATAGACAGGCGCAAGGTGGCTATTCAAACACGTGTATAAAACAATAGAGATTCTAATATAAGGGAGAGGAGAGAGAAAAGCAGTGTCTTGGGAGTACTTGACGGTTTTGGTGTAACAATTTTTCACATGGTGGAATCTCCAGGGGATTCTCTCCAATTTTGGAGTTCCTATATATTACTGTTAATTCTCTTTTGATCTTTTCCGTATTTCTCAAAGGAATATCTAAGCCGTCAATCTGAAAACACAGGACCAGATTCCAACAGTTCCAATAATCCGCAGAAATTAAAAGCCAATACACATAATTAGGCTCCTATCGATCAAATTACACAGAATTACCCAGCACCCTCGACGAGACAACGTGAGTGTTAATAATTTCAAGAATTCACATTCAAACCTGTGCACGACTAGCGGAAACTTCATCTGCATCAGAGTCATTGGTCATGAACTCATAATCACCAGTGTCATCATCACCATCACCATATCCGTACCCATAGCTGTAGTCTTCTTCAGCATATCCCTCATCAATATCGTCATCACCGCCGCTGTAATAGTCTTCCTCCTCCGCCGACGCCAATTCGTTCGCATCCTGCATATCATCCTCCGATTCCATCGCAATCACAAATTAATAATATTTTATACTAAAAAACCTTGAAAAAAACCTAGAAAAGGGGGAATATTGGAAACAAGACTATCGACTATAAATTAGTTAATAATGATGCCGGCAATGGCGTTGGTGCAACTCAACGAGTCAACTCAGTTAGAACACCCGCCGAAAATAGGCGATCACATAGGGAGGGGGTTGAGGAAGGGGTACGGATATGTGGATATTTGGAGAGAAGGAATCGGGAGAAATTATTGAAAATACCCAA